TTAATTTATTTCTGTCATCGTATTAATAATGATTTATTAATTATTTTTAATGGTGGTCATATCTTAAAGTTAGTTTTCAAACTTATTTTGACCACCATCCACATACTTTTTTTCCCATATGAATTATTACAGTACTTCTAATTATGTGTATGTGGAGAAATATTAATAAACAAACAAACAATATTATTGAAAACAACACTAGATATCCAGGTCCATCCAGGTACGTTCTTTACGTGCGTAGTAAGCTAATTGTGCGCGTATCAGACAGGCAGAGGCGGGAAAATGTTATTAGAAAAGAACAGGCGAGTAGAGAGCTAATACACACGAGGGAGAACCTACGTACGAGACACACGTAGGCACTAGACCTGTAGCATTGTTATACAGTAGAGATCAGCTCACATATTTATAACTCTTGATTGAATTGTTGACTGGAAATAAAGGAAACAAGTTACAGTGATATATTGTCTCACATTATATTTATTGGATCCCAGTGAAAGCATAATGATGTTAGTGATTTAGAGAGCTTCAGTATAGGACCATTGTTGATTTGAGATGTAAGTTTTACCCAGAATAATCCTGACTGTTTTTTTTTTATCCTTTCCAGTCTGCTGCACTTCAGAACTGTCAGAGACGAATGCCACACCGGGCAGCAGTACTCAAAGATCGCCCGCATATAGCAAATATAAACTTTAACCATGTCACTGTACAGAAGCACTGCTTTTTTCAGAAGACTTAGTGAAAATAAACGCCGAGGGGCTTTATTGAAAATTTAACTCACATGATTATCCCAACTTAAGTTATTCATGACATTAACGCCCAAAGGTTTAAGGCTATCAACATGGGAAATTACTGTACTTAACTAAATAAACATAATGAGGTAAACATTGGACACGAAAAACCTCTTAGTTATTTAAGTGAAAGTCTTGGTTTTGATTATATCTATTTTGTGAGAGGGTTATTTAGATTATTGTTGTAGCCATCTTGTATTTCGTTTGTCACTCTGACTTGGCATCTGGCTTAATTTTATCTTGTTCGTCAATAAGACGAACGTTTTATCAGATTCCTTTCCCAACTTGCGCTAACGGAAATTTTCATTAGTAGGGGCCGCCTTTCTTCTTCCTGAACGCGTGCATCTCAGGTTGATAAGTGATTTTGTAGTGTGTCAATTATTATTGGATTATTTTTTTAGATTGCTGATTTTGCAGACAATAACCCTGCAAATGTTATTATAATATTCGAAAACTTGTTTTTTTTTGTCAACAAGGGAGAATGGGGTCTGTGATTTGCAAACTTTGCATATGTAGTGTTAAGGTTGTCAGAAAATGACGTTATTACAGCGTTACATCAATGTTATTGTATTTGGAAATTACGTTATAAATACGTATTTAGGGTTTTACAAAAAGAGATTCGAAAACTAAACTGCAGCATTATCATAACGAAATTTGTTAGCTGGAAAAGGCTGTGTGTTTTCTGCAGTAAGAAACAATTTTTATTTTTCTTTTATTTTACTAATCTTAATTTAGAAATGTTTTATCGTTGGTAACAAGGTTTCGTTTACATGTCTAGGTTGGATCATTCAATTTTTTTTATAGACTTTGTTGTTTGTCAACATGTCTTTCAATTTACTAGCATAGTCTTACACGTCAGTTACAAATGTAACTCTACCTTTCTCGGCAGACAGATTAGTAATGTTGTTTCTGCAGACCAGTTAAGGCTTTTCTTTCTAGAGTAGTTATTTTGGAGACTGGATTTTCGAATTTTTGATGATGTGTGTAATTGTGGCCCTTATTATGTCCGGTCTCGGTGACATTTTATTTGAACTGACAGAGGAGAGAGCAAGACGTACAGTACTGCGTCATATTCTTCCTGTTTATTATATTTTTCTTTGTTTTGCGCTGTAAAATGTGCATCTAGTCATAAAACTAACATATGCTATGTTATTGGTTATTTATTTGCTTTTTTTTTCATTTCAGTATTTGTTCTCAGTAGTTCGTTTGGAGTTGAGGTGACTGTGGATGTACAACCCGTGAATGCTACTGAGTATCAAAGAACATACCTGATATACAATTACACAAGGTCTCTTCCAACATCTGTTAAATCAGCATACTGCAGATGGCATAAAGTAATGAGTTATGAAGCAATGTTAATTGCATCCATTAATAGTGAGGGTAATAATGTAGTGGAAAAATTCACAAATAAGATATACTTTGATGAAGACGGAAACCTTGTGTTTACGAACATAACGCGAAAAGATACTGGAACGTATAAATGTGATGTTGAAATAATTGACGACTTACCATACGTAAACTCAGATGAAGTTAATGTTAGTGTATTATGTAAGTATGAATACATTAGTACTTACTAGCCGCACGGTGTTAGTTGTGCAAAGGAAGGTGGATGAGGTATTTATTATAGTTCAATGCTATGGAGAGTTGAAGAGGTCATTATTGAGAATGCTATGGTTACCTTGTCATAATTGTTTTAAAGCATCTCTTTGTAGACAACATTTTGAGTGAGTGTCTTGTTGCTGAATAGTCCTTCTGAGGAAGTGTTGTCAACTTTAATAGATACATTGGAGTACCCTCTAGCACATGCAACATAGAGTTGGCCATGAGAGAACACGGGGGCTGGGAGGTATATTCCTAGATTATCGAATGTCTGGCCCTGGGATTTGTTTATGGTCATTGAGCATGCAAGTCTAACTGGAAATTGTATCCTTTGCAGTGTGAATGTGAGGTTATAGTCTGATGGAGCAAGTTTAACTTGCGGAATGAGGACTCTTTGTGTGACGTGACTTCCTGTGAGGATTTCGGCATCTAGTACGTGCTCATGGCGGTGCCTAATGTACAGTCTTGTACCATTCCACAGTCCTTCGTTAATGTCTAGGTTGCGTAATAGCATGATTGTAGCACCTTGCTTTAAACTGAGGCGATGTGTAGGCATGCCGGTCGGGGTAATGGAGTGAAGGAACTCAATGGGGTAGTTGGTCGCCTCATTTTTATCATTTGAAATTGCCTTGTGTGCAATGGTGTAGGTTTTTGGCAAATCTGGGAATTTGTTTATGACTGTCATTGAGCACAATTTCGTTTCAAATTGAGTAGAGAGAGAATCACAGTGTTGGACAGTGCGAAAGTCTCCAGCCATGAGCAATACTTTACCTCCAAAAGGGATTTATATTCCAGTGATGTCCTGTAACATTTTGTCAATTGTGTGGAGAGCATTTCCTGGGATCATGGATATATCATCAATAATGAATAGAGAGACTAATTAGAGGTAATGGGCATGCTCTGATGTGGGAGAAATGTTACAGGTGCTGGAGTCTAGTACTTCCACTGGAAGTTTGAAGTATGGTGGACAATTCTTCCTCCAGCAAGAAGCGTGGCAGCAATTCCTGTCTATCCACATGATGCAACTTGGATGGACCTACTGCGACAGCATGCTATGCGTGTGTTATGCACTGTTGTTTTGCCACTCCCACCGGGACCATCTAAGAAGTAAGCTCGAATGAATGATGTGTGGTCTTGAGAAAGTGAATGAAGATCTGACTTCCAAAAAAATTATCCAATATGCTGATAATACAGCAACTTATAAGCCTGTGTACTCGGAAATCAACTCTTATTCAGCTCCCAAGTCTGATATTGAGAATATCATTGAAAATCACCAAAAATAGTACGATGCAAATGCATGCATATTACTCGTGGTAGAAAAGCTTAGCATTTTATATATTCTATTAACAACGGATCTAACTTGGAATAGTCCGGGATCAAGGGGCCATTTATTTGCATAAAATGACCACATGTTTAATTGGTATTTTTAGAAAGGTCATCCAGTGGGGGTTTCGGAACTGCCCGTCTGCCGAGACATTTCTGCTGGAATAATGGGTCAGAGGTCAATAAAGGTCATTTCTGGTAAATTTTACTATAGAATAATAATCGGAAATATAAAACATGCATAATATACTAAATACTATTATGTTGCACATCATGTGAATGCGTATTCAATTGCCTATCTAGTGATACCAAACTTATTTTTGTATCTTCTTGTTTTAGGTACGTTTTTGGGGTAAAAACACAAAATTCTGTCATTTTTTGTCGAAATTTGATATTTTTTGTTTTCATTTTATTGTGCAAATTTACTAAATAAACAGATAATTTAACTATTCTTTCTCAGAAGTCGACCAATTATATGATTGTGACATTGAAACAAAAATGGAAGGTATACATACTGCGTATACTTAATTTTAATTTCTAACACTCGAAAATAACAAAAATATCAAAATTTTAGCAAAAAATCAATATAGGTGATATGCATCAAAACGAAAATGGCCAAACATAGACATGTTGCACCTTATCCGAAAGCCAATTGTATGTCCTATCGAATGATATCGACCATATTACCATTATGATATTTTTTTGTTTAAAATGGTATATTATTGGCTTAGGTTAGGCATTCCAGCATTTGACGTGGAACAAATAGCAAACAAAGTTGATTCTTTATTAAAATAATCTCAAATGAACTAGTATAAACGAATGAGGGAAAAAAATTCCAGTAATAAAACATGCCCTATATGCAAATTAGTTCAAATATGCAAAGTAGAATGGAAATAATAGAAATTACAAATATATTGGAAAACGCTAGTCGCAGAGTTTAGCTTTATTTTTTAACTTGTCCAGGGCTAAATGTTTTACTTATCTAATGGAACATTTGCTCTAAAAACGACAGGAAATGCTTCATTTGACATTTGACCTTTAACTTGAGGAAATTTCCCAGTATTTTAATTTTCATACAAGTTATCCCACTACAAACACTCTCAGAACGTAAAAGTATATGGCAAAGAGTAATTCAGTTTCTCCAACTAAACCAACTCTCCAATCTGACTGGTATGTGTTCCCGTTAATTCCTAATTGTTAATCCCAAAAGTATGAATCCTACTACTGGTTAATCCTGGCTACCCTCACCATAGAATCATTAAAGAATGTCTACAGTTGACTGTGCTCCCAGCAGGATGGAATTTAACATAAGCAAAAGTGAACAGCACCATAGAGCTTTCCAGAATTTCTGGTAAAGGTTCACCGTATAATCACGGGAATATTATGTTATTTATTTATTACATATTCGACAAAAAACCAAGAGAGACCATGGACCGAGGCCCCAACACAACGTGGGAACCTCTTTAAATATTGATATGAGTGAATAAATTAATTTATATATAAATATTTATATACACGAACAAAGTATACAAATTCCATATGCATATTACTACAAGCTTTTATGAACAGCTGTCAAAAGCTGCTCACACTCATCAGGTACAAATACATAGTGAGTAGTCTGTACAAGATTTACATTTATGCTAAGAGATAAGGCGAAGATACGTTGCTATGGTTCCTACTATTGTGTAGCTGAGGTGTTAATATTGCTTAGTTCTTGCACAATAGATGCTTTTTTCTGTGTCTACATGAAGTTACCAATTCATTTCTGTTATTTAATGTGCCAAATTTTGGTTTACAAATTATGAAATACTTTTCCATCAGGCACAGATTACACTTTTTTTGTGCCGGAGAGTATGGCTTTCATTTGACTATGGTTTTCCATTTTAACGAGTACAGGATAGAGTTATCTTTAAGGGTCAATATTCAGGCCCGTAGCCAGGTCATTTGAAGGGGGGTTCTCTGGCGTGGGGTCCAGTGGCCTGCTCAAGGGCCCCAGTGTGGTCGGAAGCGAAACCCCCGAAGCCAGAGCAGTTTTTGTGTTTAATAAGTCTATATGTTATAAAAGCAGTTATATTTTGAAAAAGATCTATGTAATAAAAAGGTGGTAATATAATAAAATTAAAAAAATATTTTTTGAGAATTGGCATGTTTAAATCACACCAAAAGAAAAAAACACAAACAAAAAACCCTCATCGCATAATCAAGTAATTTACAATGATTTATGTACTGTGCTTCTTTATAATAAATAAATCATTTAAGAAGTGTTGTCTTGTTTTAACTTAAATAATGAATCTTCCAGTATATAAACAAATAGTAGCTGCCTGTTGCAAAATAAAGTAGGAGTTGAACTTCTTAACTCGATCATCTTGTACACTGAAAATAACACAGTAGTACTATTCTTACTACATGGCTACAAAAGCACAAATATTACGTCATCTGACATCATGGGAACCTAAACTTCAGTTACAATCATTTGTTATATACTAGGCCTAATTCGAAATTATTATTTTAAGACTTTAACAATACATACTGATTAATAATGTCTGAGATTTGATGCATATTTTTGAATTAATAATCGTTTTTAGTATATCTTACTGAATATTTATTGTCTACCGAATGAAATATGAATTATATATGGATTTTTAGAATTTCTACAATATTAATCTTGTTTTTATATAGATAAATGTTCAATAAATACTATCTTTCATAAAACAAACGAAATTCAGCGCGACTATTTTCATTCCAATCAATTACGTTTGTAAACATGTGACGTGCACTGACGTCATCGTCGAATCCCAGGACTTTCGACGGTAAAATCTGCCTAGGCCCCAGGCCAACAAATAATAATTAACAAAATGTATTTTTTTTAATATAGGCCTATGGCGCATCCTGTACATGCACTTCAACTTTTACAACAAAAGCTTAGGCCTAGTAGTACGTCCTACTGTACTTAGGCCTAGGCCTACACTAGTTTGATGTCGTCGGGGTATAATTCTGTCTCTAAAAAGCCGGTTACTCACTGCGTGCGACAGCGACGCGACGGCAACGAAGACGCTATCCCAACGGATCGTATTTTTAATGAGGATCCGTTCAGATTGCGTTGCGTCGCCTATCGCTCGCCGGTAGCAAACGTGGATTCGTCGTTCGATGGTCGTACGGCGCAGTTAGTGTCTGGCTTAAATGAACGAGGAGCAAACATAGCGCAGCCTAGATTGATTTTGAAATCAATAACGGCCACCTTAAATGACTATCAAACTTCCTAATTTTATGACTGGCTATGATGACTGAGATGGACCATGTTGATTTATTAATGTTTTGTTTAGGATGAAAAAAAAGAGAGTAAATTTTCCAAAAATGCTCCATTAGCAAATAGTTTACACTGCGCTATGGACAGTATGGCTCTGTGGAATTAACTAACCACACAATTCACAATCAGGTGACTAAATAGCAAAACTTTAGCGGCATTTGGTGGATTAAGTCCGGCAAAACTATGGCTTCGTTTGGTGGCGCCATTTACGCTAGATATAGACTGCGACCGGTTTCGTTACCGGTTGGTACATTTTTTACAAACATTCAGCCAAAGGCCAGTGAAGGTTGAGACGGCAGCCAGGTTTTTATCGATGTTTGCCATCCTTATGTGAGCCATCGTAAAGTCATTGTTTGCCGGAGTTGCGTTCAATTTAAATCTCCAAACTTCTGAAGCTGAGATATTCTATAAATATAGGCTTGTATCGCTAGCACAATTTATAAACGGGTGACCAAATTATGAATTAGGTGCTATATATTATCTGCTTCATATTGGGCCTACAACTGTAGCTTAATTAAAGTGCTCTGGTTAAATATTTTTCTGAGTGGGTGGTTTGGAGGGAATGATGAATCAATAATAGATAGGAATTTAATGGTCTATGTTGGTTGAAACATTGTCGCTATACGGTGGGTTGAACCAGATGATTTTACGTTGTCGATTTCGACTGTTTTGGTTGCCTTTGCGGTTGGTTGGTTTGCGGGTTAGATATGGGTTCTTTGTATAAGTCGTGTATTGTCATATAAATAAGGTCGAGCGGAGGACATGTCATAATTATGTACCCATTGAGGGTTGTAGACGATTCCAACTGAAATATTTGATATTTTACGTGGGAGGCGTTTTGGTCTTACTGTGATCCAAACTTTCAAAAATCGGTCATATAGTTCAATATGTTGACGATATGACAACTTGTTAGTTCTATATCCAGTTCTAGTTCTATACCGGTATCCATTGTATTGCTAAATTCTTCAACGATTTTACAAGATGTAGCACACCCCATGGGCAGAGTTTCATTGTAAACTTACCCCCCCCCCGCCACTTTCATACCAAGAAGCTCATAATCATTTGGGTGAACTGGAATTATTCTGAATGCATTTTCTATATCGGTTTTAGCCATGAGGTTTCCCCTAGGAAATTTCTATATTAACTTTATTGCATGCGCTAATGTTTGATAATAAACCGATGTATCTGCAATACCATCATTTATTGAGGACCCTTCAGGAAAAGATAGATCATGAATCAGACGAAATTCGCCTCGCGTACTTTTAGGAACCAGTGCCAAAGGAGATACGAACCAGTGCCAAAGGAGATACTTGCAGATTTTCAAAATGTGATATGTCAAATGGGCCCGCGATTCGAGCCTGTTGTACCTCATGCAAAAGTTTGTTGTTTAAAACTGTAGGCATATCATGTGCTGACTTTAAGTTAGCCGCTTCTCGAAAACATCTTTTACCCTGGTATCCTGTTCAAAAACCCTCATTAAAACCGTCTCAAAGAAAGTCTCGTTTGACATAATCATAACCAATAAGCATTTGATTTATAGCAACGAAGTTAATTGGAGTGAACAACTAATTTTTTGTTTGAACGAAATGAATTGTTTGTTGCCGTTTGTACATTTGGTGACTTGGTTGTGTCACTCGTTTTATCAGGGTCTCTGATGGGATCAAATCTGCAGGATTTGTAGTTGCTGATTCCTTTAAGCTGACCCATTCCGGTAATTTTGCCCGTCCTTTGGGGAGTTGATTGTTACGGAGGGAATGCTTAGAAAGCGTCTTAGTGGCCCGATTAGTACCATGAACTAGGTTATCAGTATGGAAGCTTATAGTGACCTTCCAGATGATCAGATGCCGAGATGCAGGATCTTGTCATCTGATCATTCTTTCTAAATGATGTACACATAACGAGATCCAGGATCTCGTCATCTAATAATCTCTTCTAAAGGATATACACATAACGAGATCTAGGATCTCGTCATCTAATTATCTCTTCTAAAGGATGCACATATGACGAGATCCAGGATCTTGTGATCTAATCATCTCTTCTAAAAGGATGGACACATGACGAGATCCATGATCTCGTCATCTAATCATCTCATCTAAAGAATGTACACATGACGAGATCCAAGATCTCGTCATCTAATCATCTCTTCTAAAGGATGTACACATGACGAGATCCAGGATCCCGTCATCTAATCATCTTTTCTAAAGGATGTACACATGACGAGATCCTGGATCTTGTCATCCGATCATCTCTTCTAAAGGATGTACACATGACGAGATCTAGCATCTCGTCATGTGATCATCTCTTCTGAAAAATGTAGACATGAGGAGATCCAGGATCGCAACATTTGATCTTCTGTCCTACAGGATGTAGACATGACGAGATAATTAACTAGACATCTGGAAGGTCACTAGAAGCTTCCGTACATCTGTCTTATTTTTTAAGAGCTAAAGATAAGGACTCTAGATAAAGAGTATCAATTTTCACATTCCAAGGCTAATCAGCAGTTTGCCTCATCCTTCTAAATTGTCTATCATAGAACAAAGCTGCCTCTAACCCACCTTTTTGATATAGATTTCTGATGCTTTGCATGTAATAAAGCATCTTAGGTGCTTCATGCACAATACGTAAACATATATACATTGAAAGCTTCCATCTAATATTGTATACAATAAATAAAATAAACAGCAAGCCTAATTGGCCGCGTAAATGGAAAAATCTAGGTCAGTTTCCAATATTGTATACAATAAATAAAGTAAACAGCAAGCCCAATTGCCCGCCTAATGGAAACATCAATGTCAGTTTCCAATATTGTATACAATGAATAAAATAAACAGCAAGCCCAATTGGCTGGCTAATGTAAACATCCAGGTCAGTTTCCAATATTGTATACACTAAATAAAATAAACAGCAAGCCCAGTTGGCTGCCTAATAGAATCATCCAGGTCAGTCTCCAACTTTGTATATCATAACTAAATAAAATAAACAGCAAGCCCAGTTGGCCGCCTAATGGAAACATCCATGTCAGTTTCCAATATTGTATACAATAGATAAAATAAACAGCAAGCCCAATTGGCCGCCTAATGGAAACATCCAGGTCAGTTTCCAATATTGTATACAATAAATAAAATAAACAGCAAGCCCAGTTGGCTGCCTAAAGGTGACATCCAGGTCAGTTTCCAATATTGTACACAATAAATAAAATAAACAGCAAGCCCAGATGGCCGCCTAATGGAAACATCCATGTCAGTTTCCAATATTGTATACAATAAATAAAATAAACAGCAAGCCCAGTTGGCCGCCTAATGGAAACATCCATGTAACTATAGTTTACATAGACGGTGGCATCGGCGATCAGTAACTCTGAGTGGCAAGCTAATTAATTTATTTATTTGATTAATATCACGAGGAACATGGGCATACTGCTACGAATTATGCTATGGCAATTAGATTATTATTTATATTATCCAACACACCCAGACATATTCGGCCTATCTATAGGCTTACCAAAAATAAACAGCAAACCCATTTGGCCGCCTAATGGAAACATCCATGTCAGTTTCCAATATTGTATACAATAAATAAAATAAACAGCAAGCCCAGTTGGCTGCCTAAAGGTGACATCCAGGTCAGTTTCCAATATTGTACACAATAAATAAAATAAACAGCGAGCCCAGTTGGCTGGCTAATGTAAACATCCAGGTCAGTTTCCAATATTGTATACACTAAATAAAATAAACAGCAAGCCCAGTTGGCTGCCTAATAGAATCATTCAGGTCAGTCTCCAACTTTGTATATCATAACTAAATAAAATAAACAGCAAGCCTAATTGGCCGCGTAAATGGAAAAATCTAGGTCAGTTTCCAATATTGTATACAATAAATAAAGTAAACAGCAAGCCCAATTGCCCGCCTAATGGAAACATGCATGTCAGTTTCCAATATTGTATACAATAAATAAAATAAACAGCAAGCCCAGTTGGCTGCCTAAAGGTGACATCCAGGTCAGTTTCCAATATTGTATACAATAAATAAAATAAACAGCAAGCCCAGATGGCCGCCTAATGGAAACATCCATGTCAGTTTCCAATATTGTATACAATAAATAAAATAAACAGCAAGCCCAGTTGGCCGCCTAATGAAAACATCCATGTCAGTTTCCAATATTGTATACAATACAAAAATAAACAACAAGCCCAGTTGGTTGGTTAATGTAAACATCCAGGTCAGTTTCCAATATTTTATACACTAAACAAAATAAACAGCAAGCCCAGTTGGCTGCCTAATAGAAACATCCAGGTCAGTCTCCAACTTTGTATATCATAATTAAATAAAATAAACAGCAAGCCCAGTTGGCTGCCTAATGGAAACATCCAGGTCAGTTTCCAATAGTGTATACAATAAATAAAATAAACAGCAATTCTATATTTAAATTAAACATTATGTAGAAAGTTAGGCCCAATCATTCTAAATTAATTACGCAACTAACCTTCAATGGGCAATTAATATTGCTGCCCTAATTGAAACAAAAATTTTCTTCATAGCCCTGTCGTTCAAATGAAGAAATAATAATAATGATAATGAAAATAATGTTAATAATGTTAATAATAATAATAATAATAATAATAATAATAATAATAATAATAATAATAATAATAATAATACGGTGAATAACTGGATTCGTCTAATTTTTACATTAGATTTGGATGCACCTATAATAGTTATACCAAAATTTGTCCAGGAAGGTGATGATTTGGACATTTTCTGCCGGAGTGGTGATGCTTACCCTGACCCAATACTTAATATGCATAAGGATGATCAGCTGATATCTTCTACTAATGGCACTACTCTGAAGTACACCATCATCAATGCAACAAGTCATGATCATGGGTTTTACTACTGTGAAGCCCATAATAAAGCAGGAAGCAAGACTAGTAACGGAGTTACTCTTAGTATGCATTGTGAGTTGTCTGCCTAGTTTTATAACCTAGATTAGTACTAAAACCGTCTTTTTATTATAATGATATTTATCTTACTATACTCTGTTACAGATATCAGGTGCCAACAAAAGAGTGATGTTAACATTATAGTTGCAGAAGGCGATTCCGTGTCCATTCCATGTCAAGTGAATGCTCAACCTAATCCAAATTATACCTTCTTCAAAAACAACAAAGTTGTTAAAAGTGGATATGTTAAGGAATATATGATTGAGAAAGCAACAGAAGAAGATACTGGCAACTATCACTGCATGGCCGTGAATAATGCAGGAAATGTGACATGTGGACAGAAAAACCTGCTTGTTCCATGTACGTACCAAATAATGTATCCTTTTCAGTTAAAGCTGACTTTCATAAGGTGAAGTCGTAAATAGACGAGTTTATTAGCTCTGGCAATATCCCATGAAAGATAATGAAAAATCAAAACAAAGTCGTAAGCCTATTATATATATCTTGGTATCTTTAAAAATATAAAATCAAGTTGGCAAAATAGAGTTCCTTAGAAGCTGAATTGGGGACGCTCTTCACAAACAGCCAGTGAAAAACAACAATTCATAAATACAAACCATAATCACATACAAAAATAGAAAAATATATCGAACCCCATTCATTTACAGAAATACAAAAACCCAAGTCAAATACAAAAATATAATTACTATACCTAATAAACTAGCAGGTTTGCTAGGAGGACAGTATACGACTCAAGGGAAAAAGATATTGATTACTGTGTTAACAATTCCAATTGTATTTTGTTTGATTATTATTAGATAGATTCAAGTAAGCTTGTGAGATAAGGAAGGGGACTTTTTAAAAAATCTAGTTGTAGTTATACCATGATGTCCATATCTTTTCTCCCTTCTAAGTTGCATGGTGTGTGTAGATGTTGGCCATGGAAACCATGGCTCGAACATATTATTCTTACTGGCTTTCATAGCAAATGCCTTACACAATGACTTCCGACGTTCACTGAGAGATTCAATCTCCAGGTATTTGAGCGCACATTCATAAGTCGTATACTGCCCCCCCCCCCCACTCAATGATAAAACGGCAAACTCGTTTCTGCATACTTTCTAGACAGGATATCTGCAGCACAGTGAGGCCGTTATTCCACAATGCAACGGCATATTCTAATATGGGGCGGATGTAACCTTTGTACACTGTCAATAACTCTTTAGTACAGTATTCAAATCAGCCTGTTTAAATTTACGGAGCATGAATAGTTTTTTTATTAGCTTTTTGTAGCATAAGTTTGACATGACCCCTCCCCCCATTTCAAATCTGACTATAAAAAAACCCCAATAATTTAACTTCAGAGGCAACTTGTAATTTATGATCAGCTATGTAAAGATCCAGGTCTGGAAGCATTCTCTTACCATAATTGGAGGGATTAAGTTTTAATTTATTGGTCAATGACCACTCTTGAAGAGAATTTAGTCCCTTCTGAATCAAACTTGGTTGGCCTAAAATTCTACTCTCTCCAAGCGTCAGGTCATTGACATACTTCCAGACCTGGATCCCAGAATTAGATCCTAAAATATCATCAGTAAGAGCACTATTAATTACAAACAAGAAAATTATGGGCGCAAGGATTGTACCTTGAGGGACACCCCCAGTAAGGGTTTCCCATCCAGAAAGTTTGTTCTTATACTTAACCCTTTGTTTTCTAGCTGAAAGGAAATCCACAACCCATTGCAAGATAGAAGGGGAAACGTCCATTTCTTTGAGACAATTAAATGCAATTCTATGATCAATAAGGTCAAAAGCCTTTGTAAAATCTGTTAAAGCCAGTGTACTAATTGAGTTAGGAATCTCAGCATTTGAAATTAATTTATTGTACACCTCTATCAGGCAATGGTTGGTGGATATTCCTTTCTGATTACCAAATTGGCGCTTATCAATATGCGGTTTTATGGATTGGATAATGAAATGGGAAACCCTTCTCTCAGCAATCTTAGCTAAAGTGGGCGTTAGTGAGATATGCCTAAGTTTATTGATCGTCGGAGGAAGCGGGAAGCAGGACAACGTTAGGATTTTTCCATTGTATTGGAACAATACCCTGTTGTAAAGATGCATTGATTATATTGGTAATTGGAAAGCTGAGTCCATAGGCACACTCCTTTAACAATACATTTGGTATAATATCAGGCCCTTCCGCCTTTGAAACACAAATTCTCCCAAGATCATGATATATTTCCCAAGGTTGGAAACTTGGGGGTGGCACAGGGCTCGGAAGATATGATGGTAATTCTTGCAAATTGATTGGTTTTTGCTGCTGAGAGTTGGCTGCAAAATGTTTATTAATACAGTTTGCAATAGTCATATAGTTTACACCTGGGACCTGGATAGTAGGAACATTTTTTCCCTTATTAGCAAGAAATTTCACCTGCCTGTGCCACCCACCAGGATTCGTTTTCTGTAAGTATCTTACTTTATTTTCAATAAATGCCTTTTTACAATTGAGTATTTCTTTTATGATGTTATTTCTAAGTTTTCTTCTTAGTTTTTCAACTCCTTTCTTATAGGCTTTTTCTCTTTGAGTGATTAAGTTTTGTACTTTACTAGTATTTTTATTTTTTTTATGAGGGAAAGACTTATTAATATTATAATTCATATCTTCATAAAAAGGAAATTTGAGGTATTAAGAACATTATCCCAACTTTCTGATTGGACCCACCTTCAAAACAGATTAATTTTAGATTCAGGCATACTTTGAAAGGTTTTAACTACTAAACGATTGTTAGGTTTCCTAATTTTGGGGTTAACAACAATTACAGCGTGGTCGCTACGACCTATAGGAGACAATAACTTTGGTTTATAAAACAATTCACTATCG